AACTTTCAGTAAATAGCGCCTTGAATTTTTGGCAACAATATAAGGTATTGTAAAAAAATATAAGAGTGCTTAAAAAATTTTTTTTCGCTTTTAAAAAAAGAGATCAGATTTATATATTGATCTACAATCTTAGGTCTAAAATTATATTTATACGAAAGGGTGGGTCGAGGCCATGATCATAAATTGCCGGATAACATCATTATTGGGCAAATTTGTAAACAACGGTAATTTGGCTCAACTGGACAAATGATCGTCTGACACGTGCCGCTTCGCGGCACGTGTCAGCCAATCATTTGCCCAGTTGAGCCAAATTGCCGTTATTTACAAATTTTTGCCCAATAATGTATACTTACACGGTATATTAAGTTGACTAAAAGTCACTATTCGAAAAATAAGGAAAGCACGGTTCACGCCCCAATTCTACATGTGACGCTTCAGTACAACCAATCACATATGGTAATACAATCACAGAACAAGCCACCCAAATGCATATAAATAACCCGCCACTGAGAAACAGATCTTTCTCCAGCCATATGAGATTGACAAGTTTCTGTTAATAATGAGCAAGGACACAACAAATCCAATCTTCTCCAGTACAACAAGCAGCAGCAGCACATGTAAGAACATCGATCTATTCAGCATAGATGACAACACAAGGGCATACATAGATGCGACATGTCAGGAGACATCAAAAGCAATAATTAGTACAATAAAGGAATATATCAACCATAACATGGTTACACAAGCCAGCCTAATCAACAAACTAAATGAAAGAATAGATTCCTGCTTAAGTCAACAAGTACATAATGACCAAAAAACTCAGGAACCTGCAACCCAGGAGCCCCCTGCTGCAATTGTACACAACCACGACTATAGCTCAACAGGTTTTAACAATAATGACCAAGATGCAAGAATCATTCTGGATCAACAAGGTAATTGCCCCCTAACCCCAATACTTGATAATCTCAGAATTAACAGCCAGCATAACGAAGCAAAGAGCCCAGCCCATAATGATCAACAAGCAATTCTTAAGCTTAATAGATCAATTAAAGTAAAAATGACAACCTGAAAATACCCTGCTTTCGACTAAAGCGACATTGAGAATCTCCTAACGACATATGGATTTAACAATCCATATGCCACCAGCATTGAGAGAATCCGCTTGTGGTGGGTTTTAAATTGGTCTGAGAGACAGAAAATGATAGAAATGCTTCCAAGCAAGCCAAGCTTGTCGCAACATCTATGGAAAGATATCGCTCTTGGGTCTTATATTGAACTGCATGATTTTGTTTACAAGAATTTAAAAGCGAGCCTAAAAAACAATAACGACAAACAAACCCTGCAAACCACAGATGGTGGTATTGTTTCAGTGCGCAAGTGTAACTGTTTCTACAAATTTAACAGCATTGCAGAATGGTTGATGGCATTCAAGTCATACATGGACGCTGTATTAGTCATTTATGATATCAGAGAGCAAGAGCTTAACGCATACTGTGACTACATCAACGCCTTATATATAAAGCAAGAATTTACGACAGTTATCAATTATAATGAAGATCGAAGATTACACCCTACCATAGATCACAATACATCTTTGTTTGACCGCGACATGGAGGCAGAGGAAGAAAACTTCGATACAATCACCACAAAGAAACAATGTCCCAGTAATTACTCATACAACTATAAATTAGATACTAGTTGGCATGATGGCTGCTAAATCTGTATAAATTAGAACTGGAAAAGCTATGCTGACGGCACCAACTACCAGCATGTCCATGCATGCTTAACATGCAAAAAAGTCGGGCACACTGAACAGATGTGTTATCACAACCAATGCAACCCAAATAATGTATCTCGCAAAATAATGACAGACCCAAACGGCAATAAAGGAGCCAACAAATAGACAAAAAAAAATAATAATAAAATAAAGGGGGGAAGCAGGCAGAATGCGAATACATATTTACAAACCCACACCCATACCTAGTAATATCAAAAAAAAAAAGGAGAAGAGAGAAAAAAAAAAAAAAAAAAGAAAAAAGGGAGAAGAAACTAATTAACAAATGAATAAATAAATAACAAGAATAAGGAAATCAAACATTTCAGAGCAAAAAAAAAAAAAAAAGAATATACGGATGATGTGCATATATCACAACAAGCAGCAGCACAAACTGGCACACTAATAATGACACAACAAGCAGACACCCAAATCTTACAGGAACAGCAGAGTTCAAGCTAAAAAAAAAAAAAAGAAGAAGAAAGGGAAGGCAATCTAAGCTAAGTTATATGTAATCAAAGGGCATACAAATAAAGAGGCACACTATGCAAACACCCATCTTCAACCAGGGTCCAGCGAAAAAAAAAAAGGAAGAAAGAAAAAAAAAAAAAAAAAAAAAAATGCATAGAATAAATAAAAGAGACATATATATACAAATAGGGACAAGAAAAGGAA